AAGAAACTCTTTTAAAGGTATGTACTTTGAATGTCTCTCTTTATTCTTTCTCCCTTTTGCCTTTTTTGTACTTTTCTTGCCTTTTTGTTTTTATCATTGCTTGGTTTACGTTGTTTTGCTTATTTTTTTAATTCTGTAACTTCGCTTGGCGCGTTTTACTTTTAGTTATTTATTTCTTTGTTTTTTTCTAGCTTTGTTTTCTTTTTATCCGTGTTTTCACGTTATTTGTCATGTCTCAACGGAAAGCGTATAAGTTATACTAGTGAATTTATAATTAACGTGAATAAATGTATTAGTTGCAGATAAAAGAGAAGATATTACGAGGTGATGTAACTTTGACTACGAGTAAAACCAAATACTATATATTGCCAACTAACACAGAACAAAGTAAAGCTATATCCACTGATACAGATTGTCATAGAAGAACGAGAAATAATAAAGGCACTGTCAGGCGCTCAGTGCAAAAAACTGCGCGCGACTTTGCAGACAATGTTGCTAAAGTAGGATAGTTTTCTACTTCAGCAACGTTGCGTACAACAATGCAAATTGCGTCGTGTTGTCATGCATCGCAACATTAATTGCTTCCAACTTCGCGCCCAGCAATGTTGCACCGTGTGTAATAATAAATAAAGCTTAATACCACGACTTAATACCCGATGTCCTTTAAAATTGTAAAATATTTTTGTGTGTGTTTTCTCCTACAGATTTGCCTGTCCTGTTTTTGATCGAACAGCTCTTGAAGTATGCCAATAATCTTTTAAATCGTTTTGATTCTTTCCTTAAAAATAAATTCAAAGTTATTTCAATATTTTTATTATTATTTCTATTTTTCCTTCAATTCCTTCCTTCCCTCCTTTTCCTTCATTCCTTCATTTTTGTTTGATTGTTTACTTATTTGCTAATTACCGGTTGTTTGATGACAGGACGAGAGGTCAGTTCCTCTCACAACGATAGAGTTATCGACTACTAACAACGTTCTATCCGAAAATGCATCGAAGACATCGCCAARCGAAGACTACGAAAGAATATCAGAAAAATCTCAGTCATCCAATGACAATACAGGAAATTCAGAACAAGGAACAGGAAACGACAACGTTCATGGGTCACAAATCCACCAWTATTATCAAGAGCTTAAAGATGATGCTTTATTACCAAACATGCAAGGCTACCAGGCTCTAAAGAGGATTGTGGTGGTGGATGATAGTGCTTTAAAAAAAGAACCTGTAATGCCTCCTCCAAAATACGAAGCATTAAACTTTTTAAATCATCCACAAAAATCTGAATATCAGAAACTGCATCTTTATGCTAATATTGAGGATAAAAAGTAAAACTACGAATATAACCTCAAGGTGGTTTATTAAGTTTCATTTTTTGGTGTAGTTCATCTAGTGACGTCTATGGCGTTGTTGTTTTAATTTGTTTTCCATTTTCTTGCATTACAATATTGTAAGATAGATATACTGAATATCCAATGTGTAAAAGAATGCATTATAGTTATAACCCTTAATCAACAAAAAGTACATGGACTTTTTTCAATCAATTGTTCTTATTCTTCAACCTGTGAATTTTTTGTTTCGGCCCTCAGGCCGAAACAGTCACTCCGTTTGGTTTGCCGGCCCATAATAGTCTCCGTGCGTGTCATTTAGCTGTCAGAGTTTTGGACCTAATCCAATCATATGCCGTTTCCATCATAAGCAATGGGAAAATGTAAAACATTTCACCATGCGGAGTATTTCAAAGAGTTGCGGTGAATCTTCTCTGTGTAGACTANTATGCCGTTTCCATCATAAGCAATGGGAAAATGTAAAACATTTCACCATGCGGAGTATTTCAAAGAGTTGCGGTGAATCTTCTCTGTGTAGACTATATTATACCTTTTCGCATGACGCCATTTTTTGGAAAAAAATATATTATTGATTAACCCTACGACAATGCGTACTTTATTCCTAAGTTAGTATCTAGGTCCAAGTCGCCAAGTAAGTTATTGAAAAGTTATCCAAAAGCTTTTGTGATTGTGCGGCAAATCAAGGCAACTTGCCAGTCTCAGCTGCCTGTGAGCATAAGATGAGAAAACTTGTGAGTTTATCTATGTAACTAGCAGTTGATGCATATACATTTTGTGAAGCAAGCTTCCGATATGTTGTAGCTTCGTGCGCATCTGAGGACATGTTTTTGGTATCAGCTATTATTTAAACTAGGTCCCACAAACAAACAGTGCGTACTTTACAACTTTAAAGATAAAAGTCTGAAATCATCAATTTTCATTTATTAATACCCTGATTTAAAGTATTATTTTTTGGATTCGGTAATATTTTTGAAGCACCAAAATATGTAAATTTTTGAAGCACCAAAAGATGTAAATTTTGAGTAGATTGGTAACGGCGCACAGGTCAAAGACAAGCCTTGTATCTTTTCGTTTGAATTGAGACTTTTGCATTGTTTTTAAGCTATGACATAAGAGCTAAATACATTTACCATAAATGTCAAAGAGCAGAATGAAGGTTTAAAAAGTATCCTACATTCAACATAGCGCGTACAGTAATGCTCATGTGCCAAAATATTTTACACCAAGTACTCTGCTCTCTGCGATACTCAGTCATTGTTTAAATCTATTGTCGGATCTCTCGTTCGTTCGGCGAGACGTTATATGTACATATGTTTTTCCCCAAAACACTACGATGTTTCAAAGCAATAACCACTAAAATCTCAAAAAAACTTAATTACGATGTGTTTCGTCCAAGAGAATTTTAAAACAAATGTTTCCGTCGAAATTTGCGTAACACTTTGCAACGTGAAAGCGTACCGCGAGATCGCTCTTGTCTGCCAAGACCAAAATTCTTTTCAGCAATGCCACACAATAAATAGATAACGGGCCGAAACATCATCGCTTTCGAAGCGGTATAGGCTTGTTCTTTCTGATTTAGTTTTATTTTACAATATATCTTATGAACAAAATGCTTTACATTCAAGGAAATGACTAGAGGCTAAAGGAAACGTAAGGTTTCATATATACAAAGTTAGACCCTAGGCAATTTAAGTTATAATTTTATTCAGTAGCTCCAGACAGTAACACACACACACACACACACACACACAAATAGCAGCAGAAAAGCGAAGGTGACAAATGTGAACGGCAAAGCGACAAGACATAACAAGAACGAGAAGCAATGCACCTGTTTTAAGCTTGAGCCTAGTGTTTTTCCTATTTCAGAGCACGTGTATTCCCTAGAGTATCATTTCTTTCTTTAACGTTTGTACAAGAAAGGACACATAAATATCAACGGCCATTCCGAAACTGAGCAAAAATCTGGATCGACCTTAAATTTCAGTCTCTTAAGACAAACAGTCCCACAATACGTTGCAGTGCCAAGTCGACGCAGATTTTTCCTTAACTTTGGAATGGTTAATGATTACAACTTATTCTCACCAGAATGACATGCGGTCTGAATTGAGAAAACCTCATGCCTGAAGAAGATGCTTGTTCAGAATAATTTCTCGTTATCGTTAATTGAATTGACCGAAAACTAATTTCTCTTAATTTAAACAGGCAAAATGAAGTGTGTTTTAATTTATTCGTATCATTGACTAGAACTTCGCTTTCATGACTAAATATCCGGTCTTTTCCTGGAAAGCCACTTCAAACAATTAACTTGCTTCTCTTGTTAATTTTATTTGCATGATTCTATTCAAAACTGCTTTTTCTGACTTTTCTTTTCGGATTTTCTAACTTTATATAAGTCCCTTCATGGAAGGGCATTCTACTGCTTCTTTTTTCAAAAGCGAGAAACGACACAGCAAAAACATATTCAAAAAAATAATATTAGAAAGCTGGTCTTACAAAGCATTCGCCTTCTTCATAATTTCCTGGCTTACTGCCACTAACAGGCACACGTATCATCGATAATTTCAAACGCACTTCAATGAGATCCGAATTAACAGGCAATTTATATTGGTCTCTCTAGTTGAAAGAGCTTTTCATCAGCTTAAAAAGCAATTGGTGAGTTGAATGCGTTGATGATGTGAAGTGTGAGTTTAATAATCTACACGACCATTGATCTACACGAAAACTAAAATGAACTGGTTATATATAAGCTACCGAAACTGATTTTATCTCTTACGAGATTACTTGTTGTTATTGCTATCGAACTACATATTTTTAAGAATTTATTTGTTCATAAATTATTTCAAATTCTTAAAATTATCTAAAATATACTTCTTTACTAAATGTTAGAACACTTCAAACCCACTATTAAAATTAATTACAATTTTGAGGTAAAAATTATGTAAAGTATTTCCGATAAAAAATCTCAGCAAAATTCCACTCAAACTAACTTCGCTGATAATCATGTTTATTAACGACCATTCAAACGAAAAATAAAATTATCTAAAAGGAAATCAGTGAGGTTAAAAAGAACGATAGATTACGACGATTTCATAAAAAAACTATGGCATTTCCTCGCGGAACAGCGATAGACTCTTATAACAACAACAACAAAAAAACACACCAATTTTTTGGTATCTTTTTTGGCGCCAAACTTGACGCGCGTTGCGCCTTTGGTCAAATGAAAAATCACTCTTGACAGCTAACTAATTCTTTTTTATTGTTTTCTTGTCATTAATGGTGTTTTGAATTGAAAAACCTGTCCTGTGCTGTCAAATTGAAACAATTGTTACAAGAAAAATTGCGATATCTGAAGTTAAAAGCTGCAGTCCTTGTTCTCAAGTAGAATGGAAACTTATCTTTCTCCACCTATAGGAAATCCTCACATCAAAATCCTTTATCAGAGCGTCGTCATCATAAAACAATAGCTTAAAATGATTTTCCGTAGAAAATACGGCGCCTGGGCTACGGAAAACACTATTTATGTGTGACGGTGAACTGGGGTCATCGTTGAACAGCATCACGCAGTTATAACGTTTTTGTCAACAATACTGATTCTCAGTTTGCATTGGTCTAATACTAGACACGCGGAAGATAAAAGGACCAGTGTTTAAGAGTTCATTTAATTTTCAAAATGCAGAATCCCAACCAGAGCTTACATGTACAACTTCATAGAGCTCAGAATTTAAAAGAAAGAAGAAAAAACAGCGACGAAAACCACTCCGAAGACAGAGAGCGGGAGCAAAACGCTATTGCCCCGATGTCAACGGAAATGAAAGAGGTTTTAGCTGGATTAGCGAGGTTCGATTTACTACCGGGGAATTCGAATAACCAACACTCTGAAGAACTGATACTCCCGGTAATCAACAAAAAGCAAATAGGATCTCGTAGGTCTCAGCAAGTCTCAATGAGGAATAAGTTCTTTCCTAGTAAGACGCATGGACCAAGAAATGTGGAGAGTTCTTCAAGATTTTCAGGAAACGATGAACTTTATCTTTCTAGATTACCAAAGACATTGGCAAAGCCAAAGATCTTGATAGACGACATAGATTGTGATAAATCTAAGACGAAGCAAGATTTCGAGGCTTCGAGAGAATCTCTTCAGCGTTCTGGTCGATTTAGATCGGTAACATATCCCTGCAAAAGTCATGTCGATGAAACTAAGAAAGATGAATTGTTTTCCAAAATGCAATCACACCTGTTAAGCCGTGAAAAAATTATAAGCAGTTTCGAAGAAAGCGGTTTAAATGAACTCAAAATAGATGGCCCACCACGGCGACCACGAGCTGCAACATTTCCTTATTACCACGAATTTACTCCAAGCGAATTTAACAAAAATTTTGCCTCAGCTCCGTTTCGTGACAGCAATGATTTAATCAGTAGATCTAGAAAGGCGAGCAGTTCGTCAAGTGACAAACAAGCAGATCATATTGCAAAGCCCGAGGGCAAAACCACATCCAAAGATGAGATGTCGGCGATTATCAATCGATGCGAAGAATGGTTCCAATGGCGGGAAGGAAGACGAAAATTGAAAAAATATCGTTAATAATACATCTGTAACTCAGGGTGATGCTGAAACGTTGCGTTGAATTGAACTAGTATAGATGGAAGAAGAAGAAGAAGAAGAAGCCAAGAAGAGGAAATCAATAAAAAATAAATAAAGAGAAGAAACAGAATGTGAACGAAAATGGCGGGAAAATGAGTACAAACGGCGCGTCCGCGTATACCGGCACGACGGATCGACCAAAGAAAAGTTATTACTGATCGAGAAATGTTTTTTTCGTGGCAATATGCAGTTTGTTAATAAAAAAAAAATACGAGAAGTTTAAATCAAAGAGCCGCTCGGGAAAAAAAAATCAATTGTGATTTTAAAACGTCAGTGAAGAGTGACTTTAATTAACATTTTTCACTTGTTTCTAGTCATCGCTTTAATGTATGTCACAAAAGCTATGTTACAGCTTTAATTTATTATGAATATATCATATAAATAGTGAGTTCTTTAATGCCCAATTCACTGATTTCTGCGATAGACATATAGTCTACTTTCATATTTAGTTGAGTCCGTAAGTCTAAATAAGCTACTTTTTTTCCTTTTTTACTTAATCATCATGACTTTCGCAAAATTAGACTCATTCAATTTTATTTATTTATTTTTATTTTTTCAAAACCGATTTGATTCCGGTCGTAGCTTATCAGGATTATAGTTTTTTTTAGATGACAACTGGAATATTAGAATTTGAAAATTAACCGGATACGACGATTTAACCGCCAAGGCAACCGAAGAAAAACATATGCGTCGACGGAATATTCAAATATTTTTTTACAATGCCGAAGTCGCTGTAGCCAATATTCCGTTTGAACAGCCTTCACTAACTGTATTGTCTTGGCACTTGACTTTTTATTACCATCACAGTAGCTCTTCTTTTTTCATTTATTTTTTATTGACTGAATCTTTCTCTTTTATGTTTGGTTGTCTGGGTCTTCGGTCTCAAAATCAATCATTTTATTTTCACTAGGGAGGGAGGGCCGAATTTATTTGTCTCGTTCCAAATTCAGTGGCGGATACAGGACTTTAAGAGGGGAGGGGGGTTCTTGCAAATCTCGGCACAACAATAACGTTCTCTTGCATCATCATTTTTCCCATGAGGCAAATCACTGGCCTAGGGGCTCTCTTGATAAGGATAACCTATCCACCAGTCCCATTTGGGCGAAGGTGCTAATTTTCAAAAAGCGGACCTACCATACTTTTATTTATTTATTTAAAAAAATATATAATTCAAGGTACCAGCCGGTGGGGGTGGGGGGGGGGTGTGGGGGGTTAATTTGCACCCAATCAATCCCCCCTAAATCCGCCACAGGAATTTGTTAGCTGTCTAGAAGTAGCTGTGAAAAGGGTGAATCAGATGATCGACAAGTGAGATTTCCAGTTTAGGTCGTAGTACAAATATAGGCTACTAGTGAAAGAAAGATTCTGTTTGGTTTGGCCAATGGTCAAAACAAGCGAGTTCAAAATCAACAAAATGTAACGTTGTTTAAAGAGGGGAAGAGGATTAAACAGAATAATGCACCAATCCTAAACAAAAAATGTTTTGTTTACAGCAGGCAAGCAGGCAAGCAGGCAAGCAGGCAAGCAGGCAAGCAGGCAAGCAGGCAAGCAGGCAA